TGAAGCAGGGAGTCTTTATAGACGAGCTGAAGCAGGGAGTCTTTACAGACGTGCTGAAAGGGGTTTTTATAGATGAGTTGAAGACAGGTTAAGGGAGTTTTAATCGACGAGCTGAGGGGAGTCTTTATCTATGAGCTGATCAGGGAGTCTTTATAGATGAGTTGAAGAGAGTCTTTATAGACGAATTGAAGTTTTCCTTATAGACGAGCTGAAGCAAGAGTCTTTATGGACGACCTGAAGCAGGGATCTTTATAGACGAGCTGAAGCAGGGAGTCTTTTTCGACGAGCTGAAGCAGGGAGTCTTTATAGATGAGCTGAAGCAGGGAGTCTTTATAGACGAGCTGAAGCAGGGAGTCTTTTTCGACGAGCTGAAGCAGGGAGTCTTTTTCGACGAGCTGAAGGGAGTCTTTATAGACGAGCTGAAGCAGGGAGTCTTTATAGACGATGAGCTGAAGGGAGTCTTTATAGACGAATTGAAGGTAATCTTTATAGGCGAGTTAAAGGGAGTCATTATAGGCGATCTATAAACTCTGCAATAAACCACAGAGTCACATGGGGAAATTTCTAGAGACAAGCTGAAGATCATGAAAATGAAGGATCGAGTTGAAGGTCAGACTTTAAAGCATAGTTTAAAAGGAAGAGAGCCAGCTACTCATTTTGAAAACAGATATCCTCTATGAATTATTTTTTAACTTAAATTTTGTGAAAATCGGATCGTTTGATAATAGAAGTAATCGGTATGCCAATTGTACTGACGTCATTAGGCCAAATATTATAGATAACAAAAAGAAGGCAAAATCGTAATTTCAGTTATCTCTAAACTTCCCATTCTTTGTTATAATTTATTATGCTAACATTTGAAATGTGTGTGTTTTGTTTTTTTTTTTGTTGATGAGGGGCTCGGCTAAATTTTGAATACTGAACTTGTATATTATTTTACGAACACACTATTTGGGATATCATTTCTTCATATGAGTGAATTGGCGAATTGAAGGCAATGTGAAATCTATGGTTCCCAGACGAAGGAGAATTTCTTTGGAAAATAAATGTACAAACAACTCCTAATATTAATATACCTTAAAATAATTCGAAATATTGGCCTTTGACCCACCTCCCTGATGTTTCACATTTTTTTTTTTGCCAAAAATCGTTTTTTAACCTAGCTCCCATCCAGGGTGTTACGCAGTTAATATCCACCACCAACATTATCGATACTAACGAAGTATTGTCATGTCAGGTCTGGGACTTCTGACCTGTTATATATGGAATAAGAATAGTATGCAAATAATAGTACATATTCTATTTATAATGACGAACGCCATCTATTAGTTGTGTGCCAATGTATTATATGAGAAATAAAGATTATAGTGCATACTTTTAGGCGGCAAAGTTGTTAAAGAATATTTGTGAATTAAATCTATAGAATTTTCTATCACTATTTTCCTAGCATTAAAAATACTATAATAATTTGAAATTATTTTTTTTATCATTAAAAATTAATTAAAAAATATTTGTTTTTCTCATTTCAGATGGCATTCTTAGGCATCTTTTAAATCATCGCTACATACAATAGCTGAGAAGTTTGTCAGCTGCATAATTATATTTTGTATTCTCTATTATTTTTTATATCAAATATTATCAATGCATTTCATTTGAAATTCTTTATTATTTTCTTAACATCTTCAACAAAAGTTACCTGTATTATTTTTTCTTCTTTTTATTTTTTATTATAAAATATTATCTTAATTATACCACAAAAATTAGCAAATGTTTAATATTAAACATTTATGACACCATCATCGTCATCATCAGTTCAAGTGATATTATAAATTTAAGTAAAAATTACATCATTCATTTGTTCGTTAGCTGAGATCATCATCGTTGCAGTTCTACCGAGGCTCTAACGACGAATGGATGCCTTTACAATATTTTGCATTTATTTTTGGTTTCTATTTTTCATAATATTCGGACCAATGGTATTTTTCATATGCATCCATTTGCCAGAGGTATCTGTGCAATATATTAAGAAATTACGTTTTTAGTTAAATAAGGATTTTTTTTTGTATTTTTTAAGAAATATATATTACAAAAATAAAATATACATTTTATAACATTTATGAACAGAATTACAAATAATGAAGTTTTCCTTTTAGACGAGCTGAAGGGAGCCTTTATAGACGAGTTGAAGCAGGGAGTCTTTATAGACGAGCTCAATCAGGGAGTCTTTATAGACGAGCTGAAGCAGAGAGTCTTTAGAGACGAGCTGAAGCAGGGAGTCTTTATAGACGAGTTGAAGCAGGGAGTCTTTATAGACGAGTTGAAGCAGGGAGTCTTTAAAGACGAGCTGCAGCAGGGAGTCTTTATAGACCAGCTGCAGCAGGGAGTCTTTATAGACCAGCTGAAGCAGGCAGTCTTTATAGAAGAGCTGCAGCAGGGAGTCTTTATAGACGAGCTGAAGCAGGGAGTCTTTATAGACGAGCTGAAGCAGGGAGTCTTTATAGACGAGCTTAAGCAGGGAGTCTTTATAGACGAGCTTAAGCAGGGAGTCTTTATAGACGAGCTTAAGCAGGGAGTCTTTATAGACGAGCTGAAGGGAGTCTTTATAGAAGAACTCAAGCAGGGAGTCTTTATAGACGAGCTGAAGCAGGGAGTCTTTATAGACGAGCTGAAGCAGGCAGTCGTTATAAACGAGCTGAAGCACGGAATTTTTATAGACGAGCTGATGCAGGGAGTCTTTATAGACGAGCTGAAGCAGGGAGTCTTTATAGACGAGCTGAAGCAGGAGTCTTTATAGACGAGTTGAAGCAGGGAGTCTTTAAAGACGAGCTGCAGTAGGGATTCTTTAATGACGAGCTGCAGCAGGGATTCTTTAATGACGAGCTGCAGCAGGGAGTCTTTGTAGACGAGCTGCAGCAGGGAGTCTTTATAGACGAGCTGCAACAGGGAGTCTTTATAGACGAGCTGCAGCAGGGAGTCTTTATAGACGAGCTGAAGCAGGGAGTCTTTATAGACGAGCTGAAGCAGGGAGTGTTTATAGACGAGCTGAAGCAGGGAGTCTTTATAGACGAGCTGAAGCAGGGAGTCTTTATAGACGAGCTGAAGCAGGGAGTCTTTATAGACGAGCTGAAGCAGGGAGTCTTTATAGACGAGCTGAAGCAGGGAGTCTTTGTAGACGAGCTGAAGCAGGGAGTCTTTGTAGACGAGCTGAAGCAGGGAGTCTTTATAGATGAGGTGAAGCAGGGAGTCTTTATAGATGAGCTGAAGCACGGAGTCTTTATAGAAGAGCTGAAGCAGTGAGTCTTTATAGACGAGCTGAAGCAGTGAGTCTTTATAGACGAGCTGAAGCAGTGAGTCTTTATAGACGAGCTGAAGTAGGGAGTCTTTATAGACGAGCTGAAGCAGGGAGTCTTTATAGACGAGCTGAAGCAGGGAGTGTTTATAGACGAGCTGAAGCAGGGAGTCTTTATAGACAAGCTGAAGCTGGGAGTCTTTTTAGACAAGTTTAACAGGGGATCATTTTAGTCGAGCTGGAGGGAGTTAGGAAACCTTTATAAGAGAATCAAGAAGGAGGGTTTATAGAAGAGGTCATGTTTTTTTTTGACACCCTGAACCCCAAGAAATCTGTATAGATGAGTTGAAGTTGAATCTCGGGACGCTTTACAGGTGTAATAAAGCCAATGAGTCTTTATTTCTTTATGGACTTTGGACGGAGTTGTATTTGTAGTCGTTGTGTGGTGTAGGAAATCTTTGTAGGCGGTTGAATCGAACTGGAATTTAGGGTATAGTTATATTTGAGAGGGATTCTTTATGCGTTTTAGAGACGTGGGATGTATTTTCTTTTGCAGGTGAAAAAATCTTCTTCATACAGAAGGCATATGATAAATGGTATGCTAGGTCCTTCTTCTATGTATAGAAAATCTTTGATACATTGAATTAAAAAGAGCTATAATAGGTATACTATATTTAAAAGAACTATGTGCGGTCTCCAATGAGTAAAAGTTCTCTGAAAGGTTTTTCATTTATGGAAAACATGAAAAATGTCCTTGAAGATCTCTGGAAGGTATTCTAAGTAGAGAAGGCGCCAATAAAGGTCTTCATAATCAATTTTTTTTATATACATTTAAGGATATTCCAAATTCTACTAACTTTGATACAAACACTCGTCAATATCTTCATCGGTTTTCGTTTGATCTCTAATATATGGGCTATGGGCAAATGATTTATTCCGTTTCAAAGTCACAGCAGTATTCCAGCTCCATTTCCTCATCCATGCCACAACCAAGTAATTTCACATCCCTAATTTGTTGAATAAAATTCAACGATATTATTAATTGATCCGCAGTTTTATGGCTAATGGGAAGAGCAGTAATATCCAAAGAAATTAAAACCGAATGTTCCCTCAATAACTCATGGGTCACACAACAAATAAATCCCACTTCAGTTAAATAAGCCACACCCTTTAAATTCAACGAAGAGATGTGGGAAGTTCCCAAAACATTGGAAATCAAAGCAGGGCAGGGTCACATCGGTTATGGGATTTCGTGCTAAACCCAAATATTCTAAAGGTCCTTGGGTGTAGTGGTTTATCGATTCTTCCAAGGCCATTTGCGTTTCTTTACCCAATTGATTGGATTCCAATTCTAAGCATCACAAACTTGTGGTATTTTCGAAGAGTTCTGAAAATGCATTATCACAATCATCCATTAACTGGCCATATCCAAAATCCACAGTTTCCAAATTCGGCACATTTTTGCAAATTCGAATTATGGTTAAAAGCTTTTCGGTAAAAACTATTGCCTCAATATGCCACTAAAATAAAGGTAATTTGGAAATAGCACACCCATGAAAATAAGGCCTAGGAGTCTTTACAGATGTGCTGGAGGCATTCTATATAGCTTCCTATTTATTATGATTTACGGGGGATCTACTGTATCTACAAATCAAAAAACTGACTATTTTTTTGGTTAGAAACTTTTTCAATCTAAAAAAAAAATAAAAGTATGGAAGAACAAACCTCCTTGGAAGAATTTTCAATACCAATCCATGTTAATACATTTGCCTTTCCCAATGAGCATCAATTACGATTGGTCCACGAAGTCTATCGACCATCGGAGAAGGTTCAGAAACTTGAAAGGCATCGCAGCACCTATCCTGAACTGTTTATTGAAAATTACAATTTGGGAACATTGGCAGACCTTGCGGTACGTTCTTTGGCTAGGGCATATGGTCCTGATCCTTTACCCATAATTACCGAAGATCCTTTGAAATTAACGGTACATTATGATGCGTTGGATGTGAATCTTCCCTTAAAACAATGCTATCACCTCACCAATGAGAGGTTTTGGAAGAGAGTGGTCTTGAGTAAACATCCGGATAAGAGTTTGGGGCTACAGCCCCATGTGAATTGGAAAAATGTGGGAGTTTCCTTGAAACTACAGGAAATGGTGGAAGCTTGTCCTGCAGAATATTGGCCGGAGGAGGAAATGAGGGAGTTATTGCAGATGATTCAGGAATTTGTCCACGAACTCCACATCAAGCGTTTACAGTCTTTGATGGAAAGGTCTTTTGAGAAATATTATCGACCGCAAATCGATACTTCGTCGGATGAAGATGATGAGTCTAACGAAGAGGTTACTGATTCAACTGTTCCCACCTCAGAAGAAGAGGAGGGCGAGGCGGAAGCAGCAAACGAGTTATTCTCCTTTAAGACTGAATCCCAAATAGCTTTGGCTGAACACTTGGCCGAAGAAAAAGCCAAACGTAAAATGGCACGACAAATTCTTCGACAAGATAAAGCCAATGCTCGTCGGGAGAGAGAAGAACGTCGGGCAAAACGTGAAGCGAAACGTCTTGAGAAGGAACAACCTCCAGAGAAACCTAAAAAGAAGAAAACGAAACAACCGAATAGTGTCTTTGAGATAGAAATTTCCGAAAGTGAAGATGATGGGGAGCAGTATATTTTGGATCGTCGGAATTTGGAGCTCTATTTGAATCATCTTCGAGGCTACAGCTATCCACCGGAACATTGTCATCACATAGATCTTAGTTTTGTACAACATTTGAAGAGTTTAACAGAGTTTACCATCGAGTTTTTGGGGCCTCTTCAGGGTAGACAATATCATCACAGACATTTCAATTTTTCCCATGATGATATCAAGAGGTTGGCTCAGTAAGGGCGGAATTTATTTTTGGAAAAACAGAAAATTCTCGATTTAATTATGTTCTAGGGGCATATCATTCCTATCGCTATTAAAAATATTTCGTTTGCGCAACAGTCGAATGGATTCCGAAAAACTTTTAACCCTGATACGAGGCTTAAAAGATTTACCCCACTTGGAAACTGTGGACTTTGGCTGTGATCAGCTAATGGATGATTGTGGCAATGCTCTGTATGAGCTCTTCGAAAATACCACAAGTTTGCGAAATTTAGAATTGGAATCGAATCAATTGTGTGAAGAAACGCTAAGGACATTGGGAGAATCTATAAACCACTACAGCCAAGGAACTTTAGAATATTTGGGTTTAGCACGAAATCCCATAACGGATGAGGCTCTGCATGCCTTGATTTCAAATATTGTCGATACCTCACATATCTCTTCGTTGAATTTAAAGAGTGTGACTTATTTAACAGACGATGGGTTTATTTGTTGTCTGGCTCATGAATTATTGAGGGAACATCCCGTTTTAATTTCTTTGGATATTACAGCTATTCCCCTTAGCCAAAAAGCTGCGGATCAGTTGATGATATCGTTGAATTTAAATCAGAAAATTAAAGATGTGAAATATCTTGGCTGTGGCCTGGATGAAGAAACGGAGTTGGATATTGCTCTGATTTTGAAACGGAATAAATTTATTGCCGAAAATCCATATATTGGAGATCAAACGAAAACCGATGAAGATATCGACGAGTATTTGAATCAAACAAAGTGAGTAGAATTTGGAATATCTTTAAAATTATATATATGGATTATGTTAGACCTTCCAAGGGATCTTCTGTACTTACAATACCTTCCCACTATACATATCAGACCTTTCAGAGATCTTCAGGGCTGTTTTCCTTACGTTCAGAGGCCGATTGGAGTTATTTTTACTTAGAATATCAATCATAGCTCCCTTCCGTCTGCTAAAACTACATCCTGTTTATGTACACCTACAGCACACAAATATTTCCTACACAACCCACTTCAGATCGGCTGCAAAAACCCTTCTTTTTAGACTACCTGTCCCTCTCGTCTAATAGACTCCTTGAGCTTCAACTGTTCTATAAAGACCCCCGAGTTTAGCTCACGTATAAAACACTACCTGAGCTTCTACTAACTTATAAAAACTCCCTGAGTTCCGGCCCATCTATAAAGACTCCCTGCTTCAGCTCGTCTATAAAGACTCCCAGCTTCAGCTCTTCCATATAGACCCTCCAACTCCATCGTATATAAAGAAACCCTTCGATCTTGTATATAAGATCCTTCAGCTCGTCTATAAAGACTCCCTGCTTCAGCTCGTCTATAAAAACTCCCTGCTTCAGCTCGTCTATAAAAACTCCCTGTTTCAGCTCATCTATAAAGACTCCCTGCTTCAGCTCGTCTATAAAGACTCCCTGATTCAGCTCGTCTATAAAGACTTCCTGCTTCAGCTCGTCTATAAAGACTCTCTACTTCAGCTCGTCTATAAAGACTCCCTGCTTCAGCTCCTCTATAAAGAGTCCCTGTTTCAGCTCGTCTATAAAGACTCCCTGTTTCAGCTCGTCTATAAAGACTCCCTGTTTCAGCTCGTCTATAAAGACTCCCTGTTTCAGCTCGTCTATAAAGACTCCCTGTTTCAGCTCGTCTATAAAGACTCGCTGCTTCAGCTCGTCTATAAAGACTCGCTGCTTCAGCTCGTCTATAAAGACTCGCTGCTTCAGCTCGTCTATAAAGACTCGCTGCTTCAGCTCGTCTATAAAGACTCCCTGCTTCAGCTCGTCTATAAAGACTCCCTGCTTCAGCTCGTCTATAAAGACTCCCTGCTTCAGCTCGTCTATAAAGACTCCCTGCTTCAGCTCGTCTATAAAGACTCCCTGCTTCAGCTCGTCTATAAAGACTCCCTGCTTCAGCTCGTCTATAAAGACTCCCTGCTTCAGCTCGTCTATAAAGGCTCCCTGCTTCAGCTCGTCTATAAAGGCTCCCTTCAGCTCGTCTATAAATACTCCCTTCAGCTCGTCTATAAAGACTCCCTTCAGCTCGTCTATAAAGACTCCCTTCAGCTCGTCTTCAAAGACTCCCTTCAGGTCGTCTATAAAGGCTCCCTGCTTCAGCGCGTCTATAAAGACTCCCTGCTTCAGCTCGTTTATAAAAACTCCCTTCAGCTCTTCTATAAAGACTCCCTGCTTCAGCTCGTCTGAAGCTGAAGTAGCTTCAGGGCTAGTTTATAAAGAATATTTTTGTTTTTTCAAATTTTATCTCTATTCCTCTTAGGAATCCCATACTTCTACGAGTTTTAGAGGAAAGAGAAAAACGCCGAGAATGCCTTTCTCGCAAACCCAAGGATTTTATTGAATCGCCACAATCCTCGCGATTACCAAGTCAAGAAACATTTAAACTCGAGACCTATGGAAGTGTTTATGAACAGGAAACTGCACGGTCGCGGGAACCATTTGTCTATGAACCCAACACATTTGACGAACGGGAATTTTTGGAACATCTTTATTTGCCAGGACCCAAAAATCGTTATTACTACTTCAAAGCCTCGAGAGATGGAAACTAAAACTTACCTTTCTATTGTTATTCCGAATTGTATGTGTGTGGTTGATTTGTTGTGCAAAACAAATCGATTTCTATAGTAACAAAATTTCCGATTATTTTTTATTTGTTTGTTTGATTTTTATTGCAAAATTCCTTTTTCCACTGTTATTCTTTATTCGAAAAAAAGGGAAATAAAGAAAAATCAAATAAGTTTGATTTGACAAGTTTTGTTTTCTATATATTTTCCAAATCAAATCAATTGCAAAAATAGTTTTTTTTCTTAACTTATATTTTTATAAATAATAATTATTAAAACATAATAAAGAAAACAGTCGTGAAAATAGATTTTCTTCTTGTATTTTATTTGTGAACAAAATTGTTTTTAACAAATTTCGAATAGAAATTGTTGTGCTGAAAAAAAAAATGCCAAATCAGTCCAATGCAGCTGTTGATAGAAAAGTTAAAATTGGTTTGCAGAGTGTGGCAGGCGGTTCGACAGGAGCTGGTGGCGACAAGTCATCGATGAAAGGCAAAGGGTCACATAAAGTGGTAAGTTTCGATTTTGTCAAGGCATACATCGCAATACATAAAAAAATGTCATTTCTTTTTGGCTTTATCAGGATTTCGCTTGTTCATGGCCCTAGTCCAATTGTCCAAATTTTCGCATTTTAAATGTGCACCTCATTGTGAAGGGACCTGTTTATTTTAAAGAAGTTTAAAATTATTTTTTGAGTCGTCCGCGTACCTTTGGCGTTCAGTCGTTGCAAACTTGGGGAAAGATCTAGCGATGCCAATAACATGGATATATGTTCTAAATAAGGTATTCGACAATGTGTGGATATGGCATGAAACGTTGTCTGCTGAGTGGCTGAATTTCTATCATCCCAGACGAATGATGGCATCTCTTTAACAACTTTAACAACGCATTTGCCATGCCTTAGTCTTTGGCGTATCGGATCTTTACTCACATTACTTAGCGGTCTTGTAACAGAACGGTTGTTCCATAAGAAGAGCTAAAAATTATTTCCAAGCGCGTCGAAAAGACCATGTTCCGAAATGTTGTTTCCTACTTGGTCTCTCCATCTGATTCTGCGTGAACCATCACTTGGTTCGTTTTTATATGTCTTTTGAGTCGCTGCAGCTCGATCCGTCTGACTCTGTCGATGTCCGAGAATAGATGGTATAGCTCATGGTTCATTCGACGGCGATATTCAATGTCGACAAAGATCGGCCCATAGTTCTTTCGGACCATTTTTTTCTCTCAAACACTCCAAGAGCTGCCTCATTTGCTTGCCCATGTACCCATGCTTCAGATCCATACAACAGCACGGCTAATATCAGCGTCTTGTAGACCGTGAGTTTGGTCTGGCGAAAGGTGGCATTGCTTTTGAGTTGCTTACTCAGACCATTTGTTGGCCAACATTATTCTCCTCCGGATTTCTAAGCTGATATTATTAGTTTCGTTTAGGGCGGTGCCGAGGTATATAAAATCGTTTTCAAGTTCCAACGTTGATCCGAGTCTACTGGACGTCTTGGACGTTGATACCATCAGCTTGGTCTTCTCGCTATTTACTGCAAGTCCAACTTTGACAGACTCCTCTTCAATTTGTTCAAATGTGGCTTTTAACGCTCTCAATGATCGACCCATTATGTCGATGTCATCGGCGAGTAGCATATGCTGTTTGGTGTACAGCGGGCCATTTCTGTTCACACTGCATCTCATATGACCTTTTCCAGTAGGATGTTAAACAGGTTACATGACTAACTGTCACCTTGTCTGAAGCCTCGTTCGGTATTGAAGGGCTCCGAGATGTCATTTCTGACTTTAACTGCTGACCTTGTGCCATTATACTGCATAACCGTATTAATTTTGAGAGAATTCCGAACGCACATATGGCTTTAAAGTCCTCTGAACGAATAGTGCTGTCGAATGCGGCTTTATAGTCGACGAATTGGTGAAATTTGTCGGTGTTTTTTGTTGGTCAATGGTGGATTTGCCAGGCCTGAAGCCGCATTGGTATGGTCCGATGATGTCATTGACCATTGGCTTCAATCGTTCACACAGCACACTGGATAGCACTTTATATGCGATGGGAAGGAGACTTATTCCTCTATAGTTGGCACATATCGTCTTGTCTCGTTTTGTGTGCACGGGACACTGGATGCTGAGGTTCCAATCATTGGGCATGTATTCCTCTAGCCAAATTATTCTAATCAGCTGGTGCATGCTCCTGACCAGCATCTGACCTCCACAGCACACTGGATTGCACTTTATATGCGATGGGAAGGAGACTTATTCCTCTATAGTTGGCACATATCGTCTTGTCTCCTTTTGTGTGCACGGGACCCTGGATGCTGAGGTTCCAATCAGCTGGTGCATGCTCCTGACCAGCATCTGACCTCCGGTCGTGAATAGTTCGGCTGGTAATCCATCGGCACCTGCTGCTTTAATGTTCTTCAGCCGATTAATTGCTACTCTGACCTCATCTTGGCTAGGTGGTATACAATCTATGCCGCCATCTCTTATAGGTACTGGGATATCACCTTCAACGCCACTTTTCAAAATACTCCTTCCAGATCCTTAACACGCTATCTGTATCTGACACCATATTTCCATCTTCATCTCTAAAAATCGGATCACTGTATAAAATATCTGGCGTAAAAATTCGCAGCAGATTCCATTGCGCCATTAAGGGGACCCCCATTCTCGATTATTGTGTCGATTTATTGTGTCAGTATTAAGTGACGGCTGAAGGGCTTCTCAAACTTTAAACGCATTTTTCTCGAAGCGAATGGCGGGCACGATAACTCAAAAACTAATAATCCAATCGGTTCCAAATTTTGACACGTTTCTCTGGGAGTGTATAGCTCTCGTATGAACTAGGATAAAGTCAATCGGTGAAGAAGTCCCTTATTTTTTTAACTTAATTTGTGGTAAAAAATAGGCGATTTTCCAAAAAAAAAAAAAAAAAAAAATCCAAGTTCCGCCATTTTGTTAATTGTTGTGCGAAGACAATAATCCTAGTTCATACGAGAGCCAGACATATACTCTTTCTAACACCGTTGGAATTTTCTGATTCCGATGTTTCAGTGAAGAGTTATCATGTCCGCCATCAAAAATAAGGACTTTTCATTGATCACAAAAAACACTATGTGGGCCCTCTTCTTTCCAGGCTTTATCTAGGTTCTTTATGGTATTTGTAAATTATGTCACTATGGTCAGTGAGGTTAAACCGACGGAACTCAACACGCTCACCGGGTCCGACTTTTGTACTTTCCTTACTGCTTCAATGATGATGTTCTGATAAACGACAGAACTATAAATTAGATATCAGCTGGGACCAAAAACACTGGAACATACATTTGGGTATATGTTACATCGCCGCTCTGGAAGCGAAGTCTTTGATGCGAATCAATCCGGTGTCATGGAACTAGCTCCCGTTGGAATATTTTTCTAGGGTTCATATAATTACTGCCTTTGTGAAAATATTCAAATCGATGTAAGACAATAAATTTGAAACCGAAAATGTTGAACTAATATTCGCAATAACCTTATGTAGTAGTTTTTTAATGCCTTTCTGTCGATTACTGGACAGTTCAGTTCACTCTTGTATTCTTTGTGAATTTCCGAGCACCTCTTAAAACCATATGCTAATGTTCTAAACTTTATAAAGTATTTTTAAAAATGTAACGCATTTTTTCCGAAAAATAGTATGAACACAATCTCATATTTTTCTTCTTCGAACTTGTAATACACAATTATTTTCTGATGCCTCGTTTGATTTCAATGAACTCCATTATAACCATTTTCGACTGTACTCTTTCCAAAAGAAATTATTTTCATTGAAATTAAATTCTGTATCTTATCACAACTATTAAGGCACTTTCTCCAGTTGATATCCTTTGTTATCCTTTCTTTATAAAATCTTCTATAATAATGACAATTTATTTGAAAGTCAAGTGGCTTTTATAGAATTTCATGTCCCAGTAGTAAAATAAAAAAAAAACTGAAATTATTATTTTCAACCCTTTTCCCCCTTGCTGTTCAAAAACAAATTCAACTTATTACCTTTTAATATACCTCGATATGAAGTTACACTTAAATGAGTTTTTCAATATTTGATACCAACAGCACCGTTACCGTTACCTCCACCACCAGCAACAGAAAATTTGTTTTGATATTTAATTTTGTCACGGAAGTTATTAAAACAAATGCAAATGTCGAATGATGAGACGGAGAAATACCAAAAAAGAAAAAAAAATAAATAATAAATATAGATTTACAAACATATTTATAGTTGTAGGTAAAGTTGTGCAAGGATATGCATTGCAATTGTTACACTGAAAGAAATTTGTATAGAAATATATTCAACACATACAATAAATAAAATAAACCTCGATGTAGAACTATATGATGTTACTAGCATATGCCCGCTAGTTTCAAGATTCCAACTTTATCGGTTGACCCACAATTCATATTGTACCAAATTTTGTACACATTAGTACGAATTTCCAAAATTACCTACATACCCCAATCCTACACTTCCACAGTCATCCTAAATCAAAATTTCATGATTTCAACTCTATCGCTTCACCCACAATTCAAATTGTACCAAATTTAGTACACAGTAGTACGAATTTCCAAAACTTCCTACATACCCCAATCCTACACCTCCACAGTCATCCTAAATCAAAATTTCATGATTTCAACTCTATCGCTTCACCCCAAATTTAATTTGTACCCAATTTAGTACACATTAGTACTAATTTCTAAAACATCATACATATTTCAATCTTACACCTCCACAGTGATCCTGACTTCAAATTTCATGATTCTAGCTCTATTGGTTCACCTAAAATTCAAATTGTACCAAATTTAGTACCGTTTAGTACCCATAAGTATTAATTTGTTAAACTGGGTCCTGACCCTAATCCTACATCCCTGCAGTGATCCTAATTCCAAATTTCATTATTCCAGCTCTATCGGTTCACCAAAATCGAAATTGTACCAATTATTGTACGATTTAGTACTTTTCCTACACATAAGTAAAAAATTTCCAAAACTACGTACATATCCCAATCCTACACTCCGACGGTAATGTGGCTTTCAATTTTCGGGACTCCAGCTCGATTTGTACCTCCAAATCAAATTTGTACCAAATAAAGTACCATATAGTACTTTTCGTACACATGAGTACACGCTTTCAAAACCATCTCCTTAAATATACTCTACATCTCAACCCTAATTCGCATTCCACATTTCAAGTTTTTAGCTCTATTCATTCACATTCTACGAATTTGTACCAAATTAAGTACATTTTAGTACTTTTCGGATAGTTATAGTTCGAATTTCCAAAAACCCTTTGCTAAACCTATCCTACACTCCATCCGCGACCACCAGTCCAAATTTCAGAGTTCTAGCTCTACTGGTTCGCCAAATACACATGGTATGGCATTTAGTACTTTTCGTACCGATCTAGTACGAATTTCCAAAAACCCAGCCTTATCTGTCACCTTTGGACCAAGAGTGACCCTCACCCAAAATTTCA